CTGGTATTTCATCTGAAACTGCCACCTGCCACTTTCCAGACCAATTCCCATAGTTTATCTGAACCCCTGCCACTTTCGGCACTATAGATTCTTTCCCAATTCCTTTTAAGGCCATAGTTCTGCCTGGAATTATGTCATCCTGGGCTATCAAATCAGAATGTACTAAAGAAATTTGAGATCCTGTGTCCCTTATAGCAATGTATTTCTTTCCTCCTACTAATATCTCTTCACCAGCGTTTTTGAGAAGAGTACTGTCATTTTGGATATAATAACAATGTACTATAGGGGCTTCAGGAATATCCTCCTCAAGCTCAGTGGAAGCTGTGGTTGCCATGGGAACAGGACTCTAATTACTGCTTCCCTCAGAGGATTCAACTTGTTCCAAACAGTACGCTTTTTTGGTTTGATTATCATTCTTCCCAGTATTAAGTTTATTTCATGTACATTGGAACTGTAAATGTCCAGACTGGTCGCAGTTGTAACACCTATAATTCCTTCTCTCATTCTGAGGAGATTTGGTAAACTTTTTCTCAGAGTTCATTTGGTTCTGAGGACTAGGCTGTACTAATTTAGCTGAGGCACCACCCTGGCCTTCATTCCCTGTTGTTTTACTGTGGTAACTGTTTGTTAAAAGGTTGGTTGAAGGATTTTTTATGGTTGTCCCAGGTTGGATTGTTAATTTTTACCTCAGAGAAAATGGGGTCTTGTACTCTCTAATATGATCTGCCTGTTCACCAGCTTCTATTAGAGCTTTAGGATTTTTGTCCCTAACTAGATAGTGCAATTCCCCAGGTAAAATAGAGTAAAATTGTTCTAAGCCTACCACAATTTTCATCTCTTCTAGAGAAGTAACTTTTTCATGTGTCATCCATTTGTCCAGATACTGGTGTAACTTAGACACCAACTGAGCACATGATTCTTCAGGTCTTTTAGTAAGGGTACAAAATTTTCGCCTGAGATGTTCTGCATTTATGCAATATCTGGAAAATACCATTTTTCTATACGCTTCAAAATCTCTAACCTGTTCTAGGGGAATCTGAGAATAAATCTCAAGCAATTCTCCACTGATTTGTGACCTCAAAACAATCATCCTTTCACTATCTCGGATATTAAAGTCCCAGCACGTGCGCTCAAAAGCGATAAGAAAAGATTCAGGACAGTCCCCTTTCTTATATTGGGGAAATTTCTTAAGATCAATTTTAGCCAGAATTCCTTCACTGGCATTCACCCTTGTGCCCCTTGCCTGACTCTCCAAACACAGAGCACACGAAGGCAAATTATACTCCTTCTCACCTGCTGCCACCAGTTGATCACTAAATCAATATTAATTATGGAAGGATGAAGATACAGGTCCCAACTTCACTGTCTTTTAAATAAAACCTGTTTATTGATTATAGATGTTATTATTAATCATAGGTAACTTCTATTATCTTCAATCTCAACCTTCTGTTTGTCATTACAGTTCTTATTCACTTTTCACTCTAATCACAACTCGTATCTCCCAAAATACCACACTCTATCTCCTTCTCCACTCTCTCACTCTGACTCTCACTCTATTTCTCTCACTGACTCTGACTGACTCTGACTCCGCCTCTTAGCAACCTTAGCCTGCAACATGATTATGCATGACTACTTCATAATAGGGGTGAACGCAACATACTTCCCCCTTTAATATGTTTGGGAGGGGAAACACATTTTCCTCCTAAACAAGCAGGCACAATTGCATTAAATTTTACTTACCATATAACACAATTCTATAGGCAATACCATATTTTATTTGTTTGTTTGTTTGTTTGTTTGTTTGTTTATTTGATTTGTACCCCACCTATCTGGACCAATGGACCACTCTAGGCGGCTATACCTTATACACTAAACATTTCACTACTATTCAATAATATACTTTATCTTATCAGTGACACTCTTTTTTTACATTTAACATTACCAACCTTACAGAAATATCGCAATCAGGAAACTTTTACAATAATAATTAACCTGTAAACCATAGTCCATTTCAGTTTATTATAAAAGTCCTTGCATCAAACTTCACTGTCTTTTAAATAAAAACTTTTTATTGATTACAGATGTTATTATTAATCATAGGTAACTTCTATTATCTTCAACATCAACCTTCTGTTTGTCATTACAGTTCTTATTCACTTTTCACTCTAATCACACCTCAGATCCCCCAAAATACCACACTCTATCTCCTTCTCCACTCTCTCACTTTGACTCTCACTGACTCTGACTCTCACTGACTCTGACTCCTCCTCTCTATTACATACCTCTTAGCAACCTTAGCCTGCAACATGAATATGCATAACTACTTCATAATAAGGGTGAATGCTACACATGGTAACTAGGAGACAGATAGACAGACCAAGAGAAGAAGGACAGGTACACACTGGTGCCTTTAGAGCCAGCCTGTACCATTAAGTAATTATATTAAATGTAGAATCCATTCAGGAAAACAGGTCTGTCTGCCTGCCTTTTGGTTTATATTGCCTTTTCTGCTTTTCCCCCTGTGAGTTGGTTAAAGGTGCCAAGATGATTGAATCTTTTCTGCCTCAAGAGAGGCAGTTTGAGCTTTGAACCCTAACCCATTTGGGACCATATGGCTCTCGTTCTCCCACTGCCAATGTACCTGCCTTGCTGTTTGGCCTGATTTGGCCAAAGGGCATGTTTTGTTTTCTTAAAAACCTGTTAAATTCATACCACATCCTACTCTTTGAGTCATCATCAATCCCCTCCATTTCCCCTTCTGTTTTCCGCCTTATTGTTCATCTTTACTAAGCAAGCAAAGTGGGACATCAAATCAGGTAATCAGCGTCAGACAACCAATTCCTGGAAAGCAGATGTGGCCATAAGGTATGTCAGGTTATATGGATTGATATAATTGTAGCTTTCAATGGATTAGCAAGGCTTTCTGACTCTCAATTGTCTAATAACAAGAGCTCCAGAAGAACACTGGGGATGGTGACGAAAGGAAGTGTGACCTTGGTCAGGCAATGGTGACATATTTCTGACCTGAGCAGGGTCAGACTAAACATCAAGAGACGTACCTTTCTCCTTCTGTTTTCCTGACAACTCCAAGCTTTCTTTGGAGATGGCAAATTAAGCTTTTCATGTTAAGTCTGTGTTTACCTTCCAATGACCAATCATAAAACAAAGCACACTAAATGAAAGATGCAGAGGTGAGGAAAACCACATAGCGGTACATCTACAAGAACAAGTGCTAAACACATTATCCTGTTTGACCTACCATGCTCCTAAATTACAGATTTCTACCTGTCTGATCTGTTTTGCACCTGGCTGCACTGGGTAGACCTTAAGGTTCTGATCCAACACAAAGTGGACTGTGCAAGCCTGAGGTTTGTTTATCTCTGATTTATAGTGACAAACTTTGAACACAAAGAGCAAGGGAACAAAGTGGAGCTGTAAAAGTACTCTAGGAGGTAACTTCAGCCTTTTTCCTACAAGTCCCGATGCAGAAAATCAAACAAACTCTGATTTTTTAAATGGCTTCTCCTACATGAGACTTTTTCCTCACAATTCCACTGCCTTTCCTGGGAGGTCTAATAGTTAAACTCAATTTGTCAACCCTTTCAGGTCTACATTTTTGTCTATTGTCTTCTTTTTGTAACAAGAGAAAAAACATCAATGAAAAGAAAAGACGGAATAGCTGTGCAATGCTTTCTAAGTGGCAGATAAATTAAATGGTAAAAACTCTGGTTGGAAGCACCCAAGGTCCCTTTCTTGTTTATTTTTCCAGCCTTTGAGGTTGTGCTCCAATTGATGTGAGAAGTAAGAGAGAACCAGAAATTAACCACAGGACTGTAAGGAGACTTTGCCCTCAGTGTTTCTGATCATTTCTTCCTTTATCAGGTGTGCACATACCTGGTTATGATGAAGGATAAAAAGTAACTACTGTACATCAGGTGCTTTTTTTAAAACAATGGATGGAGGAATGCTTTGCTTACATTATGTCAAAATATGCTGCTGCTGCTGTAATAATAATATGTGTCATCAAGTCAATTCTAACTTAAGGGGACCCTTTCCAGGCTTTCCTAGGTATACAGCACTCAGAAATGCTGCCCACAGAAGAAAACAACCAATGAGCTTGTGGTGATAGAGCAGTGCCCCCAGCACGCACACACCATGAGCGATACGCACATTGTTATCCGGCTGCTCTGGGTGCATCAACTGCATGTGCAGAGCCCACAAGACCCTCGCTACTGCCTCCAGTCCCCACACACCTCTTCAGGTAAGAATAGGAGTCCTCTTATATTCTCTTAAAAGAAAAGAAGGCTGACCGCCAAAGAATTGATGCCTTTGAATTGTGGTGCTGGAGGAGACTCTTGAGAGTCCCCTGGACTGCAAGGAGAAAAAACCTATCCATTCTGAAGGAAATCAGCCGTGAGTGCTCACTGGAAGGACAGATCCTGAAGCTGAGGATCCAATACTCTGGCCATCTCATGAGAAGAGAAGACTCTCTGGAAAAGACCCTGGTGTGGGGAAAGAGTGAAAGCAGGAGGAGGATGACAGAGGCCGAGAAGGCTGGGCAGTGTCATCGAAGCTACCAGCATGAATTTGACCAAACTCTGGGAGGCAGTAGAAGACAGGAGGGCCTGGCGTGCTCTGGTCCATGGGGTCATGAAGAGTCGGACAAGATTAAATGACTAAACAACAACAATGTTCTTTATGACCACACTATGTATGAGCACAACACTAGAAAGGAGACAAAGTAGTAGGCACACACTGGGCAGGGGATTGAAAAACGAAAGAGTTGTGGCACTTTAAAGACTGAGACTAATTTATTTCAGTGCATGTTTGATATGAATTCCAGTCCACTTCCTCAGATACACAGAAGCATAAGAGTTGGGGCACAGCTTTATATACACAGAAGACATGGCACTGTGGCAGAGGCCAAATGAGATGGAAAAAGAGAGTCACAGTTGCATAGGTAATGGGCCTTGGAAATCACAGTGGCATTGTTGAGACGAGTAATGAGAAATTAACATGCTGGTCACACATTATGGCAACTCTTTTCAGGGTTTTCCAAGTAGAGAATATTAAGAAGCAGTTCACCCCCCCTCCTTCTTCTGGGGGTGCTCGGAACTATGCAACTTTTCTGTGGCCACACAGGCTGGCTACACTCTCAAGAGGCGCCGTGGGGAGTCCAATGCCCAACCTCTGGCTCCAAGGCCAGATACCTAAACTGCCATATGCAAGACTGCAGATGAATCTGGGATGTGTGTTTTTGCTTGTTTGTGCACACACATGCATTCACATGCACATGTACACACACAAACATATGTTAAGAATCCTGTGTCCTTATTTAAATCATTGTAATATACTGTACACTAGATCTGTGAATGTAGCCCACTTCAGCTGTTGCTATCCTTGCTGCTCACTCAACTGGATCTGTGAATGTAGCCCACCTCAGCTGTTGCTATCCTTGCTGCTCACTCACTCTCTCACACACACACTTTCTCAAATCCTTCTCTTACTTTATAACAGTTACTCTGATGACAAAGGTTTAGTAAAAGGTTACTGATGCAGCACAAAAGGAATGACATTCTCTAAAGGTCACAAAATGTAGTTATATGTTTGTCACGGGGAAAAGGAATTAATTTTAAGTAATCAATGCAAGTAGTTACTTGGCAGCTGTGGTTTACACACTGGGAGTACTGTAGATTGGGAGACTTACTCCATCTCTTTCTCTCCCGTCATGGGAATGTGATCAGAAGTTACTGATGCAGCACAAAAGGAATGACATTCTCTAAAGGTCACAAAATGTAGTTATATGTTTGTCACGGGGAAAAGGAATTAATTTTAAGTAATCAATGCAAGTAGTTACTTGGCAGCTGTGGTTTACACACTGGGAGTACTGTAGATTGGGAGACTTACTCCATCTCTTTCTCTCCCGTCATGGGAATGTGATCAGAACAGTCATTGAGCTGGGAGTACTGTAGATTGGGACTTACTCCATCTCTCCCGTCATGGGAATGTGATCAGAACAGTCATTAATGGAGGGATAGAGTTGGCTATTTTATTTAAAATGGCCACCACCACCACAAATCTACCCAGGCTGGAAAGAGTGGTGTAAAGTTGCATCATCCATGGATACATTGTTGGGGACTGAAGAAGTAGGAGACAGCTGCTTAACTGTGCTCTCCCTTTACCGCCCATGTTAGGGCCACCCCGCTACCCCATTTTAGACTGAAATATGTTGAGCAGCATATATAAGGAGTTCAACTAGCATATTATTTACAGTGGTGGTATATCTTGAATTCTACTGGTGTAATGAGACTCTGTTGACAAAAGGAGCTCAAGCATTTTGATGTCCAAGGTAGAAAAGTAAACACATACGTACACCATGTCAAGGTGCATAGTTGTTAAGCTTATTTTGTCCTACGAGATAACTAACAATTTGTTGCCTTTTTTTGGTAACATCCAAGATCTGCTCTCTGGTGCACGGAAAATATCTAACAATTTGTCGCCTTTTTTTGTAACATCCAAGATCTGCTCTCTGGTGCACTTGCCTCACCTTGAGTAAGAGCTGAACTGGCCCAAGTCTCCTCCTATATCCTTGAGCAGCTCAGGCTTGTCCAGATTGCTAAAGCGGAACTTTGATGTCTGCCAAGCATTCTGCCTTGACTATCAAGTTTCAGTCTGGGTGGAGGACAAAGGCATTTCGCAGGTGTCTGCCAGACCCCGGCATCTGTCACCCCCAGGTGACTGCCTCACTCTGCCCTGCCAAGCTAGCATGATGCTGCATAATTAGAATCCCAGTACTCTTTCATTTGTTGTGATGTGCCGGTCAAGTCACTTCCAACTTATGCTAGCCCTATAAATGAGCGACCTCCAGAATTGTCCTGTCCTCAACAGCCCTGCTCAGCTCTTGTAAACTCAAGGTTGTGGTTTCCTTTAAGGAGTCAGACCACCTCATGTTTGGCCTTCCTCTTTTCCTGCTGGCTTCCACCTTTCCCAGCATCATTGTCTTTTCCAGAGAATCCTGCGTTCTCATGTCATGCTCAAAGTAGGACAGTCTCAGCCTTAATATTTTTTTGCCTCCAGAATTTGATCTAAGACCCACTTGTTCATCTTTCTGGCAGCCCTAGGTACCCATAAAGCTCTCTTCCAGCACCACACTTCAAATGAATACATTTTGGTGGTGAATTAAGTGTAGGAGTGTACAAGATCACGTCTCTTAATCTCTTTATACCACAATTAGCCAACAAAATTATTACTATTTTTTTCTTGCAGTCCCCATGTGTTTATCATAATTGTATTTGATTAAAGATTAATAGCATAAGCTCACAGGGGATGACAAATTATCCCTGGCATCTGTGTAGAGGAACTGAACAATCAAGTTCACCCCCATAAGTCATACTGCATACCAAGAAGGATTTCAAATATTTCCCTCTTGTTACTAAGAGGGATCAGTTTCAACCTTCGGGTGCACTCCCTGAGTTGTAAACATTTCTGTATGTTTTCATTCTTGCTTTCATGATTTGTCAGCCAAACATGCAGATGTTCAAAAGCAGATTCAACGGCAATTAGTTTTAATGGTGCTTTTTCAACCCCCCTTCTCAACAATCACTTTTATGTTCAAAATTTGCAGAGAAGAGCAGACAGAATGCTTCTTCAAGCAATAAGCATTGTTTAATGAAATGATTCTTAAAGCATGATATAGCTTGTCCTCACTCAGCTATGTAAAAATATTTACTGGTTTAAATTAGTTGGTGGCAGATCCTTGATGTTCATGGATTGGTAGTGGTAATGATGAGAGGACTAGGAACACCAAAAGGAGAGCACGGGAAAGCTGGTGTGGTTTTGCTTTTCTTTATTTTGTTTGTTTTGTTTTGTTTTTAGTCTGAAGCATTCTTTTCTGAACTACAGCTCCCCGGAATTCACCATATAGCATGATCAGCCAGATGGGGGATTCTGGGAATCTCTGAAGGTAACTCAAAGGCCGGCATCTTGTTGTTTAGTGTAAGAAAAATAATATATTTCACTCAATTCCAATTGGAAAACAGAAAGTCCCTGCTGCTGTTCTCGGTGGCGTGCATGTAGGCTCCAAGCCGGCATGCTCACACGCGCCCCAAAAGTGTGCCGGGGACCTTTTATTTGACAGTTAGGAACAGACTGAACATTATAAATTTTCTTATGCTACGCAACAGGATTTCAGCTAAACTGGGTCAGACCTTTGTTCCATGTATCTCAAGATCATCAACAGGGATTGGCAGCAGCTCTCCATGGTTTCAGGCAGAAATCTTCCAAAGCCAAAGTGGAACGAACTACTGTACTGTGAATTAAACCTGCAATCGTCTGTATGCAAAGTATATGCCATACCACTGAGAGATGGCCTCTTGCTGGTGATTCTGGGACTTGTTGTCGAAAAAGAAAACCTGTTCTTATTTCTGGACATTAGCAATTGTCCAAATACAATGGGGGAGGGACTTTAGTTGCATAGAGACTACAGTAAACTGTCTCATATCTGTTCAGACGTAACTAGTACAGGAAGATTTGCGAGTGTAAACTGCCCAGAGCGGCCTTGTAGCCAGATGAACAGTATAAAAACCGAGCAAATAAATAAATTCAGGCAAACAGGAATCTGGAAATATAAAGCCACATTAGGTTATCTAATCTGCACAGAAAACCTGCCTCCTTAACCAAGGCACATGGAGTACATAGTACTCCATGGTTGAAATACAGTTTGCATATGTCTACTAACAATAACAGGAATAAGAAAGTGCAGGCAAGTCAATTCTGATGACAACTCTTTTCAGGATTTTCAGGCAAGTCCATTCTGAATGATGGCACCCCCTTTCAGGGTTTCCAGACTCTTCTTCTGGGGTTGTACTGGGACTTTTGTTGCTTGCCCAGGGCTACATAGGCTGCCTGTACTCCCAGGAAGTGGAGCATTACATTCCAAACCTCTGGAGCCAGATGCTGAACTCACTGAGTTATCCAGCCAACAATATACATTTGGAGCCCCCCCCCCCAATTTGTTACTTCATACAGTATATTCTAGCTAAGGCTGGTCAGTCTTTAGGAGTTCCTAGGGTGACGCTAATTAATTTCATTTCTTCTCCCTGGACACAGGGTAATACTACCAAGCAAGGCCAAAATTAGCTGTATGTCCATGTACCAAATGTAATGAGCATGCTTTAAGAAAAAAGCAAAAATAAAATGTTTGCCTCAGGCTTAGGCTTAAAAGCACCAAAGCACCTGTTTAAGTGCAGCACTCCAGGTGTA